CGTGGCGCTCCTACAGTATATTATGATAACATAAACTCAAGACATTACAAAAAAAATTTGACCACAGACTGACAGATGTTTCCTTTGAAATTGATAGTTTTAAAATGAACTTCTTTTTAAATCTATTTGCGACACATTATTTACATAATATATTTTTGATTTCTGCAATGACCATCGCGAACGACTTTGACACAGAATCTGGTTAAACTGGTGTAGAGTTGAAACTTTCGTATTCACTTTAAATTACAAAAACTGTGGAATATAAAATATACGGCAAACAATTCTTATATTAAACAGGAACAGAGGTGATATAGTTCCATTTAAGCCACATATACGCAAAAATTAGTCACAGTACGTAAAAAATTCCGATGTCTTAGCTTATCTTATCTTCTTTCTCCTGTCCTTATTCCACCTGTCTGTGTGGCCGCTATAACATGTAAATCACGCTGTCATGGTATTGGCTAGGCTTTTTACGACCTGAATGGTACTTGCTAAGTTTTTTTAAGACCGCCGACCTGCCTGACGTCAACCCTCCTTGGGATTAAACAGTATATAGGTACTGGATAAATTACATGTCGGTCGCACAAACACTCATCCCGTGTGGAATCGAACCCACGAACTCCGACGACGAAGCGAATAGCTTAGCAAACTGCGCCACCGTGTCATCTGCTTTTTTTTAATGATTACCATATTTTAATCAAATCTTTTATACTAAATACAATGGTCGTATATAAATATCTTGTCTCTACCTTACTTCAGCATGGATGCTTTCGTATTTACATAAAACGGATATTAGCTCCATTGAAAACCTTTAGTACTGAGTTTCTTTCGCCGGTTCTTCTTAGGTTTCTTTTCCGTACAGGCGGTATTGCTGCTATATTGAATAAAGATATTTGAATTTGTCGTTGTACAAATTCGAACAACATATTGTTTGAGAGCCACAAAGGGGGCGGAATAAGGAAGGCGGCAGTGTGTAGAGATTACAACCCCACCGTGGAAAGCGAGGGATTACACGTGGCGCCGTATAGTATTTCAGCTTATTGTTTACGGTGTAACATGTAAGGTGCCATTTCTGGGTTGTTAAACCTGTTGACAACAATGATATGTCATACGATAGTTGAAAATTAATTAAATGTCTGTTACCGTGAATATTATATCCGAAACTTTTTTTTACGTTGCAAAAATCCTTAATGGATCACCCGCCGCCTTGTGGGTGCGGGGTATGTGGTTGATACAGCGGGGGTATGCGGAACTCCCCAGGAACACGGGCGTACCCACTAAAAGACCCACTTTGCACCTGCGTGGCCTTTGCCGGGGCGACGGGAACACGATAACGCAATATTCCGCGAACCCAGGCGTCCTCCCCCAGGTGTTAGGATCACTCGGTCCAGCCACACTATTCTCGAACCTAACTTAAGATTCTTGAAGTCTACCTTCGTCCGTTCATATGTTTTGCTCGTGATAATTTCCGAAATGGCCCTATCGGCAGGCGAGGCTCTTTTTAGAGAGTCGATAATCTTCATGATTAATTTCATAAAATTTACAGAATAATTATATATTTTTGTTATAATTTCTTACGTGAATACTTCTTTTGCTAAGAAATCGGGGGATACCTCCCTGAGCGCCGACGCGCGAAGTTAAATGGACATTTGTGACTTTCTTCCGCTACCGTTACGAAATATGTTACGTATCTTTAACCGACTTCAAAAAGTATATATGAATTCAGATGTTTTGCAAATTTCTTTTTTGTTCGAAAGGGTTTCATTTCAAAATGGCCCTATTTAAATTTCATATAGGTCTGATTATGATCGGAGATAGACAACGGACTCTTATAAAAATGTCAGCAAATCAAAAGCGATTGCTATCGCACGTGCACTCCATACAAGCTAAAAAGCTTAGCATGTGAATGTGAAACGTGACCCAAAAGACATAAAAAGACGACTTATTTTAAAGTTATCTTTGACAGATGTTAATTGTTAATGGTAACTTTAACTATTGGCTTTTCGTGTATTCGAGTTTCAATTTCTGTAACGCCACTGCGTAACAAATAGGATGTTTTTTTAACAATCTATTTTCGCGCTGGTCAGGCCACTTTGGTTTTAATCGTTTTGCAATTTCCTTTTAATCGTAATTTTAAACTTTTTATAGTTGTTCAAATGTCGATAAAAGACGGCGAAAGCAATGCTTGTGCTTCAAATGCTAAAAAGCAATGTTGATAAAAAACGTTAAGCTTAGTGGTTAAAGCGTCAGACCGCGAATGCCGAAGACGTGGGTTCGATTCCCATAGCGGCGACAATCTTTTCGTACTTTTTCTAAATATTTTAATGCTTTTAATCGTTTTAAATTTTCAGTCCCGGTTTGACACCGTATTTTGTTAGAGGTTAGGTAAATTAGGTTATCTAGGCTTAATTTTCGAGGTAATTACATTAGTATTCTTATAAACTTTTTAGTGCTAATAGAGTTTTTTGAAGACGGTTCGTTTTTTTTTGTTAAAAAATTTATATTTATTATTGACAGCATGCAATTTGATTGTACTAATAGTACCTTCTAATGTACTCTTGCTAGAACACGGTAAAATTATTTTCATTTATTTCGTATTTATAAATAATTTATCCATTCTTACTAATATTATAAAGGCGAAAGTTTGTATGTATGGATGGATGTTTGTTACTCTTTCACGCAAAAACTACTGAATATACTTTAATGAAACTTTACAAAAACATAGCTTATACATCAGAATAAGACAGAGGTTATAATTTATATTATACATATTTTATGTATATCTGCCTTTCTGTCTGAATGTGATGCCTTCAGCCCATTCCACGCAGACGTAGTCGCGGGCAGCAGATAGTAGTAACATATAAGGCGTAATTTCAACATCTTACGCCCGGTTTCTGAAACACTATCATCGTAGATGTTAACTAATCGGCTGTCAAATGGTTTTTCAAATAGCGTTTGAGTTGCCAAAATGAGTGTAAAACTCTTTGAATTGATCATTCTGATCATTAAGAAGATAATTCTGGTCAATTCAGAGATTTTAACCATCCTTTTGGCAACTAAAATGAAATTTGAAAAGCCATTTGACAGCTCATTAGTTGACATTTACGATGATCAGTGTTTCAGAAACCGGGCGTTAGTTATGGATTGATCGGTCTATAGGTCCTTTACATTGTTCTACTATTCAATAAGATTCATACAAGTGTATAGTAACAAGTCATAGATGAGTTTCAAATCCCTACATTTTCGTCGTTATACTACTTGTTGATTTTTTAGAAATATTATCAAGTTACATTAATTAATACTTTTTTGTTATTTTTGGTTTTATTTTTATAAATAATTACAACCTAATTTTATTAAACAGTTGTCAAACAATCTATCAGTAAATTCACTGTATTAATTATTTCAATTTGAATTATTTTATTTACATATCTAATTTTTCATAAATCCAAATGAGACAAAAGTAACTGTTTATTTATAAAAAAAATTATAGTGAAGAAAATATATAAAATAAAAAAATAACAAATCACTGGGAAAGTTTGATCTCGGTGACAGTCCTTGTACATGACCCCGGCGCTATGACCACTAAGCTAACCGAACTCTGTCGTAATTGACAATAGTTTAATCTCTGTTCTATAGATAATAGTTAGTTACCGTTTATCGACATAAGAAATTTTTATCGATAGCTTTTTTTAATTTATGTTTACTTGAAAAATTATATAACGTACTAAGTCAATTCGACGACCTGAATGGCGTATTGGGTAGTGCACCTGCCTCTTGCGCCAGAGGGTGTGGGTTCGATCCCCACTACTGGAAAATATTGTGTGATGAACATGGTGTTTTTCTAGTGTGTGGGTGTTTATATATGTATTTATTTACAAAAGAAAAGTATGTCAAGTATGTTTATCAGTTATCTAGTATCCATAGTACAAGCGTTGCTTAGTTTGGGACTAGAGAACGTTGTCTAAAAATGTGTCCTATAAAAAAAAAATTTGAAGATTTATAGAATAAAGGTTAAAATGCGCACTAAATGAAGAAAACATGATTATAATGAAGAAAAGTAAATGATAAATTCTATCTATCCATCATTTCTGCTGCGGAGACTATAACTAAGAAATCGTTAAAATTTTTTTTTGATCATTTAATGTTGTGATTTAAGCATTTGCCTTTGAATTTATGGCGTATTTTTATTTCATATTAATCTTCGTCCAACAGGAAGAAGAATATTTGTTATTAAATTGTTGATAAAATAAAAAAAATAATGAAGACTCAATGTCCGGGCGCTCGCCTTTAATTAATTATACTCGAGCAACCTGAGTTCGATCCCTGGTGCCGGCACCAACGAAATTTTTACTTTTAAGTGCCGAATTATCACGTGCTCATCGGTGAAGGAAAACATCGTGAGGAAACCTGCATATTTTCGAAATAATAACAAAAAAAATATTTCGAAGATATGTGAAGTCCGCCAATCCACAGTGGGGCCGCGTGGTGGACTATGCCCTGATACCCTCTGTACAGAGGAGGCCATAACTTTATTAACAATTTATTTCATACATTGAAAACATTATTTAGAAATTGTTACAGCAAACATATGGTAAAGAAAAACAATAATGAAATGTCGGCATATAGGCGTCAAAGCGGCAAATCTAAGTACGATTAGAAAATCAATATAGGTACGGTTAGAAAAGTATTCATAGAAACGAATCTTCTGACGAGCAGTCCAGATTATACGTATCATAATCCATAATAATGATAGAGCGAAGCGGTATCGCTACTAAAAAGAATGAAGGCATCCGAAAGGCATCTACACTGGAGCCAATAGATAACAGCTGCACACATTTAAAACATCGAAATCCGAAGGACTTCTTAGCGCTTAATGGAAATAGGTACGGTTATTCATGTAAGATACACGGCCGTGTCCATTACGTAGCCACGAAATAGTACAAAGGAAAGCTTATTAACGAGATGTTAACGGAGCAGGATTTTGTGTTATGAGCCATTACCTTTTTGTAAACCGACTGGTACGTCGCAGCCATTTTGTTCGCGGAAGACTTGAGTGGGAAGCGTTCCATGATAAAAGCTGTAACAAAAGCAAACCGCTTGTTAACATACGCACCACTAACCGGTGATAATAATAATATAGTGACGGCCCGAGCCTAGGCTCCCCTGGAAGCCCTCGAGGTAATCACTCATAAACGAGGTTCAGGCTAGCGCCCGGCCACCTCAGTCCCGGTTGATCAAACCAAAAAACCTTTGTGGTTATTTTTTTATGACCACCCAGAAATACGAGTAGAATTGACATATTGACAACAAAAAAGCGGATTTCGAGCATGAAAATCACACTATTTCATTATTTATTTTTACGAAAACTATAAGCGACCGCCGAATTCTGCTTGTTGATTAATTCATTAGAGATTTTTGTCTATCGTTTAAAATTTATTTTAATTGAATTACGCCAACGTTGAAGTTATTTACATTTTCCATGTAGTGTGAGTTTTGCCAAATTTGCAAATATTACGTTTAATTATTTAACGTTCCCTTATAAATCTTTTATTACACAATTGACTAAAATTTTTGTCAATTTTGATTAAAAGTTGACATTTATTAAAATAAATTAATCGAAACTATCGTCGTAGCAACATTCTTATTGCAGCCGTCCATTAAAAAGTAAAATTAATTTTAACTGTTTCTGCTATTAAGGAATTTGATTGGATAATTATTGTATCTACGCATATAGCATTAAGGACACATTAGATAGATATCCAATATTTATTTATTTATTTATCACCTAAGTACACACCGTAACAGATTAAATATACAAGGTTTAAAAAAATTATGGGTGGTACCTTATTTATAGGTAAAAACAACATTTTATCCGATAGTAGAGACACAACCTAAAAAAAAAAACAAACCTGTAGCACTCAGAGACAGCCGCGGTAAAGCTATTGCATAGCGTTTTTATCAACTTATACAATTATAATTATTTTTTTTATTCATGCAGCTTTTTTTTTTCTTAATATTAATTCAAGATCCACTTTTTGAGCGTGGTGACCGATAAGAAAAAAAAATTTTTTTTTATTGAATAAATGAGAAGTTAACATCGTTTAAAATATTTTTATTATCTTACAGTACATGTGGGTTATTCAGGAATTTTTATAATTGATATAGGTTTATTTAGGATTATGGTAACTGAAATAAGAAAGATAAGTTTGGGACTTCATATCCTCTAAATCATCATATCATCATATGATAATATAATTTTATAAAATCATATTATAATATCCATCCGTGCTAGCTTCGTAGTCGTACCATATACATACACGTTAAGTGAACGCTCGGTCCAGCTACATGGTAGGCGGAGTGGGGGGTGTTAGGTTTTATTTTCGTTACGGATTTTCTTGATTCGGTCGCCGCGCTCAAAGCCCGCGATAAAAGCTATGCAATAGCTTAAAAATTGTTAAAAAACTAAAGGTGAAATACGAACATTTAACTAAAAATACAGTAAAAATAGATACAAAAACAATATACCTATCAAGAATGTTACTAAAAAAATATATTACAATAAAAATATAGATTGAACGGTGACGATATTAACATATCATACAATATAGACATATCGGCAACTAAACTGGACGCAAAAAGCCGTTGGGTATTATAGCACCCCGAAATGACATGTAAAATTTATATCTATCATGTATCTTAAAGTTCTAAGCGAAAGAGAAAGTTTTGTGGGGTTTATCGCGTTCGGTCTAATTAATGGTCTATCGGAACGAGATCTTGACTCAATATATTTTGGAATCGGGCGCGACCAAGTAACTTTTAATTTCTTCAAATAAGCTGTCCTCTTGCGAAAGACAAGATTATATAATGCTTGTAACCGCTAAAGCCTCCTGATGGTCCCACCCACTTGGAGCTTCGGAATCTCCAGCCGAACACATCGGGGCCCCACCGGTGCCACCCCCCATCGTGCCTAAGCTCATACCGGGATGGACGAACGGCGCGGCTTTGTCTTCAGCTGTGGCATTACGTGACCAATCCGTATTGCCCTCCTCCCTAGGTTCACTCTCCTTGGTAAAAACCCGGTGGAAATTCTGATCATTAAGATGATTCTGATCAATTCAGAGAGTTTAACCATCCTTTTGGCAACTTAATTGATATTTAAAAAGCCATTTGGCAGCTGATTCGTCAATTTCTATGATGATCAGCATTCCAGAAACCGGGCATAACTGTCGCAAACTTTCGTAAATTCCCTTCGGATTGTACTGTGGGTTGGGTGACTCGATTTTATTATCGGCGTTTTATGTTCTGTTATCATTGATTACTTATTCCTACGGAATGCAATTATTAAAGATTAATAATATTAATATTATAATGCAAGATTTGGCCATTTTAGACAAATGAGGGCGAAAAGAAAAGATATGACGACATTTCATGAAAGTCTAATAACCATAGAACAGTAGTAGAATACTTTGACTGTATAATAGAAGAATAGAAATAGTTTTTCATGAATATTATATTTCATTTAATCAATATTACGTAGTGACTATTAATAAGAGTATTGTCTATCACGCGACCCCGCTGCATATTGGCGGACTTTACAAATCTTCGAAATAATTATTTTTATTATTTCGAAAATAATAACAAAAACATATTAATATAGTAACTGGATAAATAATATTCGGTATTAGGCTGGTCAAGTACGACGGAAATTTTATTTGTAACATATTGATATAGCAGAATGCGTTTAGCGCTAATGGAACGTATTATTATCAGTCTACGAATAAAAAATAATTGTATTTACGAAACGACTTTATATTTTCCGCTTAGTTAACACTATCAACACACTGTTGCTAGGCTACATAACTTTCCCTCAGTTAACTAAGCCGAGCTCTGCTCTGAGATGCGTGAACATTATCCTTGGAAGTGGTTTCGTGAGAATATCCGCGATTTGTTCAGAGGAACTCACTTTTCTAACTTCTATTACTTTTTTTGCAAATTGTTCACGCAGAAAGAAGTGCCTCAAACGAATGTTTGGTTTTCTTATGGAACTCAGGGTTGTGAGCTAATTTCACTGCAGCTTCATTGTCGGCGCTTAGATTTGGTACTGAGCTGAGCGCGGTCAATTGTTTGGATAGCCTTGTAAGCCACACCATTTCTTTCAGTTGTGGAGCGTCCTGTGCTGCGATCTCCTCCGTGATCAGCATCACTAAAAGCAACTAAGTATTCCTTACTTGCATTGGAATTATATTTTATACCATACGACATTTTGTCTTTTAGGTATCGCATAATCCTTTTAACTTTCAACAATCTGCTTTGGAGGTGCTTCGAGCTTTCGTGACACTATACCTACTGCATAAGCAATATCAGGGTATAAGCATCGCAAACATTAGATAGGCCAATACTCCCACTGCTTCTCGATATGAAAAGTGAGCATCGTCATCAGCTTTCCCTGTTTCAAGTTTCTTTTTCTATAGATGTTGAAATTGGGTTACAATTCATCATTGCAAATCTTTCTAATACTTTCTTTGTATATGCTTCTTGTTTCAATATGATTGAACCATCGACATCATTTCGAAATCTCCATACCTAGATAAAATGAAGCTGATTTCGTAGTTATCTTTATTTATTCTTTGTTTAAGATCATTGAGTAATTCTTCTGCCATCTTTTGATCAGTTCAGCTATGAGACCATCATCGACATGAAGTGATAATAAGTTTTTAGTCTCTTTATGTACAGATATGTATCTGCACAACTTTGTTTAAAACCTAGTTCTATTAGAATTTCATGAAAACAGTGATACCAACATCGTGGTGCTTGTTTCGAACCATAAAGACTCCGATTAAGGCGAGAAACTCTATCTGTGCCATCTTCAAAGCCTTCGGGTTGTTTCATATATACCTTCTGACATTTTTCCATATAAGAATGCTTTCGTTACATCAAACTGTACAAGGTAAAGATTAGTAGCCATTCTTGCTACTGGGCTAAAGGTCTCTTTATAATCGATGGCTTCATGCTGTCGAAATCCCTTCGATACTAAGCGTGCCTTGTAGCGTTCAATCGTGCCATCACTGTTCCTTTTCATCTTGAATACCCACTTGCAAGGTATGCATTTCTTATTGGCTGGTAAATTTTGAAGAGTCCAAGTATCATGCTCCTTCAAAGATGATAGCTCTGCCTTCATTGCAGACAACCAATTTTCTTTATTGTTACAGTTAATAGCCTGTTTAAAAGTTAAGAGTTCTTCGCATAATACACGTTTTAATGATGTGACATAATCGTTGAATTTTTCTGGTCTTTTGAGTGCAGATCGATCACGCAGATCATACATACCTCTGTTCTTGACTTTTGTCGATACTATCATGAAACTCGTCATTTCCGATATTACTATCTTCATCACAATCTTCTCTCTCTAATGCAAGCGATTCTCTTGGTTCTTCTGAGCGATAACGGAGGAGAGTTCGATAACACAAGTGTCAAACATATTTTAGATAAACATGGTACAAAGCAAAGATTGGTTATGCCTTATACCCCACAGCAAAATGGGTTTAGTAAGCGAGAAAACCGAACTCTTGTCGAGACTGGAAGATCACTTAGCATATAATTATTGGGTCCAGGAGCTTCACCAAACGATAAGACAACGCTAATCTTATTATTCAATATCACAGGAATTATTCTCTGTGTAGGAAATGTATCGCTTATTATTTCGGAGGAATATTTGCAATTTCTGTTTCTATGGACATAATTGTCTGAAATTGTAAATTTGTATGCGTAAATAACCGATTTTGATCACATAGATTTTTAAGAAGGCAGTTTTTACTGTATTGTATTGTTCCTAACATTATAACACAATTATTACTGGTAACGATAAATTAGATTATTATATTTTGAAATTATTAGGCAAATTTCAACCAATATTTTTCAGACATCGGAACCCAGATTACTGCTGGTGTTCTTCCGTTAAGATTAAGTGCAGGCACGTATGTCTACGGGAAGAAGCCAACGAGGACTTTTCGATGCTTTTTTATGAATACGGTCCTGTTTTTCGCTTTGTAAGCCCCTTGGGTAGAGACGTTGTTATCATTAATCGTCCGGATTACATTCAAAATGTACACTGCAGAAGCCGATCAACCGGTAAGGTCTGCTTTAGATTGCTTGGAGAAGTATAGGACGAAACATAGAAGCCACGCTTATGGAGGGATTTACGCAATTCACGGACCAGAGTGGGTACGCCGCAGGACAATATCAGACGTCCCCCTACACAGTGCAATCGATAAACACGTGCAAGGCATCTGCGAATCCTACGACACGTTTACACAGAAAATGTACACACACGAGGAACCATCAGGACGAAGTAACTAAGGACTTGGAGAAGGAGTTGAATATATGGGCATTCCATTGTATGGGGACAATATTCTCGTAGACGGCTACAGAGTTTGTATTACCGACGGCAAGAAAAATCGTCTTGTTCGGTCGAGAGACGACATTTTCGATGAATCGCCTCTATCATCAGAAGATGCAAAGACTGAAACAGGTAATGAAAACGCGATAAATGAATTTCAATTGAAACTGTCACAGGATTGCAATACTTCTAGAGATTAAATCATATATATACTATAGAAGATACAACAGAGCCAGTGGAACTTACAAATGAGGACATAGAACCTATTGAGCCAGAGAGAGAAGCTCAAGTGGAAACTGACAATGTCTATGATCCGTTGCCAGAACAACCAAGAGAATCCCTTGAATTAGAGAGAGATTGTGATGAAGATGGTAATATCAGGTGACAAGTTTCATGATAATATCGAACAAAGTCTAAAACAGAGGTATGATCTGGGTGATCTATCTTCTCTCAAAATCTTCTCTCACGAATTTGCATCAATCTATTTCGGTTACGGGGCGAGAAAATGTTTTGGGCCCGTAGTCTGATATAGCAGAATGCGTTCGGCACTAATGGAACATATTATTATCAGTCTATGAATAAAAAATAATTGTAATTATGAAACGAGTTTATATTTTCCGCTTAGTTAATTGAAATAACTATCAACACACTGTTGCTAGGCTACAACACACACATATATATATATATTTTATGGTTACCACATAATTTACTTAGCCCTGATACTATTTAACAAAAGCTTCAACAAATCTTTATATATCTTCTCATTGTGTGTATGTCACTGAACTCCTTAACAGCTGGACCGATTTTAATGGATTTTTTGTGTCTTCTGGCCCATTCGAGAAAGTTTTAGATTCACAATTCAGTCCACTACAATTTTTATTATATGTTTATTTATAAGGTGTCTGATTTAAGATGTGTGTACAGCACCACATCTGTCAAGTCTGTTAGTATTAATATAAAAATAATAAGCAAATCTTTACAATATTAAGTACAAACCTATCCCATGCATGAAAATATAATAGAATATAGCATAATATAATAGAATAGCATAATTACATAATCTACAAAAAACTGAATCTGACTATATTTGCCTCTGATACCTCTGGCCCTGATCAGACTGAATCTTAGATGAAGGCCACCAAAGTATATAAGCATCCCAAACCAGAGTATCTCCTCTCTCAAGAGATCAAAGTTAATTCTTCGAGTCCCTTCCATCATGATGGAAAATGCCACAGCTTTATAAAACTACCAGAACACCAGAAAACTTTTATGTCTAATAGGGACATATTGAAATTTCAAACAAATTGAAAGTTTGAAAAACCTTATTTTGTATATAAGATCGTTATAGTATGAATTAGGTGTTACTCGACGGCGCTGATTCAGTATGTCTGATTTGACAGAAAAGATATTATAAATTAGTATTCATAAAACAATTTAATTTTAGTACTAGCCAACACTCATGTTATAGAAGGCCAATTAATATATTGTACCTATTTCTACTTAAATATTTTAAATCCATATTTCACATAGGTACATAATCAAAATTTTGGAATAATTAATTATGTAAACTAATACTAGTAGCATATTTATAAATGTGAATAAAGTTCTTAATTTCAAATGAGATACACTCAAAGTGCTTTACTAAGTGCTTATGTTGTACTGTTAAAAAACTTACAAATAACTGTTAAAAATTGATCTATCTCCATGTAATACTTTATATTTCATATTAGTAATGCCATAAGTTACCATATTCATTTTTAAATTTATTTATACTGATGTGTTATGTTATAGACAATTTCTTAATTGCATAAAACACTTATTTTTGCATATTCAATAGCATATTTATCAAAGTAAATAAATTTGAATGTAGGGTTTTTAACAAATTTAGAAGGAAACAACGTTAACTTAAATCAAGAATAGGGATAAATCGACGCCCCCTTGATTGATTCCTATTAAAAATATTGTGTTGTGTACAAGTACGTGGATAACAAATTATAACATATTATGGTGTACATACAGCATCAACAAAAATATTTTAATCACATTTACAAAATAATTGCTGGTGCAAATTCCTGGCAGGTTAGTAATAAAGTTACAAATACTTACAAACCTAATCAAAAGTTGCACATTTCTAAAACTTATTCAATCCCAAAGTGTAATATATTAATTATACAAGAAATTTTTACGGTGTACAAGATAGTGAACTTATATATATACAGTACAGTACAATGTAGAATAAAAATTCGCTCGGAAATCAAACAAGTTTTCATTCGTAATAGAAAGCTAGTACGACACAGATTACGAAAACTGACATTTAGTTTAAGAATCTGACATAAACTTGACATTTCATAACTTTATATCTTTTAATATATTTCATGAATATGGTACGAATTCTTCAGTCTTCATAACTTTATTTAACATTAATAAGATCTCATACGTTATAAGTACGTGAAACTTTTAATTTCATATTTGAAAAGTGTGGTGTGAAGAGCCGTTTTTCTGAGAAAAATTCGACTGCTGTGACACATAATTTGCCAAGACTCAAGATATATTTTTTATTATTTTTCAAAGATCTATTATTCTAAGGAATCAGGTGCGAACTTAGAACCGATGATATACCGGTGACGCCCAACTGATGTAAAATTACCGGAAGTCTGGACACGATGTTAATTTTTTTTATAGATTAGAGTATAAAAAAAATGTAACAACGGTAAAGAAGATTGTTCGTACAAGTACTTCTTTAACATATTTCAGATATGGTAAAAGTCGCAGGCTATCGAGTAAACCGGTAATTGATCCATCACTAGCTACATCCGCCGATCTGTATAAAATGGCGTCAGCCGAGTTTTTAGAACAAGCTTTGTCTACAGACGTTGATGAGAACGCAGTAAACGCGATTGTTGGCTCTCTTGAAAATCAATTGGTGACGTCCGTTCCGTCAGAGTCCATACAAAACAATATAGTAAATGTTATACCTGATCAACTTAACATTACTTCAAATTCGAGTTCTATTACTGGTGTACAGAAATACAACACAGACTGTGACAGTGATAGTGAAGTTGAAAGTGTGAACTTTCATTCGTCGGCCGCAAATAATTTAACTTACCTAAGTTCCCAGTCAACATTTGTGTCGCCAAACTTGTCACAAAATATTTCGAACGCTAATGAGCAGTTGAAAGTGATATATTCTCAAACACATTTACCAACTTCTACAAGTAGGGTGACATTTCCCGCCCAATCCATAGCGAACGGGTGTCTGAGCTTGTCATCGCCTCAAAATCAAATTCTTCACTCTATACCACACAGCGGGATACAACAGTCTGGAGCTAAGCTAACCATGCAACCTCCCTTAGTTATTAAACAGGGATCGACTCCAGGACAGGTGGGCATGCAACCTGGAATGGTTACTGTACCTATGACAGTTAATTCTAATATGCCTACTTCCATTCCTAATGTAATGACTATCAACAAGCCTGGACAAAATGTAGTAGTCACAACACAGAATTTAGGATCAGCTCAGCCTACAATATTGCCCAATGTTCAAATATTAAACATGAGACCAGGAGCTCCTACTGTAGCAGCACAGAAGTCTGTAGCAACAGTTTCTCCAAGGGTTGTGATTGGGGCACAACAAGTAGTTGGAACCAGAGCTGCGGCACCTGGTGTAAGTTTGGTTCTGCTTTGCGCCTAGTTTAGGACTTACTGATACAGTACTGGTCAAAACTTAACTTATAATATTAATGTCTACATGTTGCTTTTGGAGTAACTACTTTTAAAAAAAACTATAATATTTATGTCTATTTGAGTAGTGTAATAAAGTATTGCTCTGAAAGTAATGTGACCTCGAGTAAAATACTTTAAGACTTAATTTTTTATTCTTTTAAGAGTTTCTTGTGCACTATATTAAACTTGCTATAATTTTTGATAAGTATAGTAAGTTTTTTTTTCCCAGATATTGTGCAAATTCCTCTTCTACTTTAAATCCAATGACTGTCGCAATGCCTCTGTATATCAATGTTAATTATTGCCTGTAGTTGTTAACTCTGTTCCTACCTTCAAACAAGTGCTAATAAAAATAATGATCACTATTTGGTGATACTGCCCATGCTAGCGTTATAAACTGTTTCATGTTCATATAATCAAACCATCTTGCATGATTGGTGCATTATTTTTCCTTAGTCATTATAATACAAAAATATGTGTTGAATATAAAATCATGATTAGTGCTAAAAATATCATTAAAGTTATTCATTCTCTCATTATTAACTCATCATAACATTACCTATTTAGGATTAGATAGGACATTGATACTATGTACTATGTATTTCTTGTTTCTTGTATTTTAAATATTACATATATTTACTGTAATATATCTTATATTTATTGTGTAATAAATATATTATAAACATGTATTAAAGACTATCTATTTTTATTTTTATGGTTTAGGTTTTAGATGTAGACTTTTTTAATATATATTGTTTTATTATTTAAAAAATTTACAAAAAACATTTATATACTTTTTATATATATTAATAAATTTACAATTAAAATAAATTATCAAAATTTAATATAATCAGGTAAATATGAATTATGTACTTTATACTTTTCAATTTGCTTCTGTTTCATATAATTTAATATAAAGACACCAGCTTTCAAACACTTAACACTTATTAAAAACTTTCACACTAATATAGATTTTATATCCAACCTACACATGCATTGATGTTGCACCCTTCACATCAGTCTGTATGTTATCTACTTCAGATCTAACAAATGACCTGCTTAGACAATCTAAAGTTTTTTTAATGATCTCTAAAAACAATACAACAATTAGAGGTGGGTTAAATTGAAATGGGGCATTGATTTTTAGATTACGCTGCAAACACTGCAAAGTCTACAACAAGGGCAGCAGGGTCATTTGTTGTTAAAGACTGAAAATGGTCAGTACCAACTGTTGAGGGTTGGGCCAGCTCCCGCAGCCAGCAACCTCACGGCGCCGCAGCCACAGACCCTCCGGCTGTCAACTGTGCCGTCAGTAAGTAGGCACTGCTCCACAATCCATCCGCAATCACAAAATTGGGCAAACACTAGCTTTAATCCCTAGCTTTCATGCTTGGGGTAGATTTGTTCACTGTCTGTATTGGAATATTGCATGTATTACTTTGGTGTAAGTGCATGTTCTCAGCTTAACAAAGTAGAAAGACTGTAGTTAGATCATCATTCATAAATATTGATCTTGAACCATTTTAGTTCTAGCATTCATAACTTTTATTATGAAAATGTAAATTATTTTTAACCTTTTGAATGAAAAACTTCTTTAGGCTTGTTGAGCTTTTTGTGGGGAACAAAAATCATAGGATGTTTTCCTTGAGCTATATGTGTACTGTGTATATGTGTACTTTTTTGGTGAACAGAAAGTGTGAAATTCGCGTCATTGTCATTGAGCGCTATCAAATACTGTTATGTACAATTAAATATACAAAATAAAATATATACAATTAAATATACAATTTTAATTATATTGTTTTATGTTTTCACTTATTTCAGCAGGCCCCCATGAGACTGTCTGTTTTTTGTTCTCTGTTCATGCTAGAGCAAATATATGATCATTTAGCTTTGAGAATGAAATTTGCAGAACCTAACACCCATCCAATTCCTGCTCCAAGCTTTGTGCTTTACAACATGAGAGCTTTTCTTACAATATGAAGCTATGCTCACAATTTGCACAATACCACTGTCAACTATTTTTATTTATCAAATTAAGGTGTTATATATTTAAGAATAAACACTACTGTGTTATAAATTGTTATGGACTTACATAATAATTTAATGCACAAAAATGTAATGCCGGTATAATTATAGTATAGTGCCCAGACAATATAGCTGTGATAGCTTATTGTCAGGGGCGCTCGCTTTTGGTATACTCTAGCAACCTGAATTCAATCCCTGGTGTCGTCACCAATGAAATTAACTTATTAATAAATAATAAAACTAATTAAGTGCTGACTTATCACATGGTCACCAGTGAAGGATAATGTCATAAGGAGACCTGCATATTTTCGAAATAATGACAATAATATTTTTTTTAAGATATGTGAAGTGCGAAAAAGAAAAACAATATTTTTTGTGCAAAATTTTGTTTCACACAGTTACAAGAATATGTTGCCTGTAATTTATATTTTACATGTGTTAAACCCATGAAACAACTTCTTGAAATTTTATTGTTATAATTTTGGTGCTTTTAGTTAATAGATGTAATTTATTTAATTATATAAAACAGGAGTCATACATGTAATTTTTAAGGCTACCAGTATTATTTAATTTAAGGAATCACATTTTTTTTATTTTGTTTAAAGTGGATAAAAAATGAGGGAATTATGGAAATGTAATAATAATCACATTCATAAAATAATAATGACAAATGATTTTGTGGTAAAAAATTGATAGTATTAACAGTTTGCATTACTTATTACTTTTCTTTGATGCATGATTGGTGTTTTATTTTCTAGTGGTTTTTATGAATAGTCAATAGTTTTCCATAGTATTATATTACTGTATATTTACATTATTCACAGCATCCTGGTGTGGCTACGATGTCAACAAGTATTGCAGCTCCAGGACAAATATCAGGGCAATTGCCCCCTGGAGCGGTTGCAACACCTATAGCAGCTGTCTCGACAAGCATGCAGTCGGCCACACCTCCACCACTTCCACCAACTGTCACCACTCAAGTAATAAAACTTAAATATTTATGATCGGCACGCAAATATGAATACAGTAAACTGACCGATGTCATCGTTTTTCATTGAAAACCGCCAAAAAAAGAAGACGTAGTCTGAATAATCAAAATTATTGTCCTAGTGTAGCTTTAAACTAAATTTTTCTTCTAGGAAGGATCTTCTCTCTCTATTGAATCTGAAATAATCTCATGAAATGTTATCCAACAATGTGCCTTGGGAAAGTTTCTGCATTTGTTGTAATCAATGTACAGTGGTGGGGCTATGGCTGTTGCACGAATGAGCAGGCCCGTCCGGGGAGGTACCACAACCTCACAGAAGACCGGCATAAAGTGGAAGTATGACAAATAATTTTCGCGTTTCGTCTGGTGAGTGAGGTAGCCAGAGCCCAATTTTCAAAAGGTGGTCAACGCATCTGTAACCCTCAGGTGCAGCAGATGTTCATGGGCGGCGGTATTCACTTACCATCATTTGCTCGTTTGGCAACTTTTCATATAAAAAAAATGCCACGATATACGACTCACAATGTTGGTCAACTGCTTCAAAGGCTTCCTCTTTGTGTGAGCATTTGTTAATTTTCGCCCTAGCATGTAATAGAAACAACACATTTTTATTTTCTTCATTCTTCTTAATAGCTCAACATCTTACTAAGAAATCAACTTGAATCACTTTGTTTTGACCAAATGAATGAATAAACCCCTGCTATATACAAGTGATGGCACAGGCATTCCAATACACACAGTCATTTAATACAGCAACTTGAAAAGTAAAACAACAAAAATTAAACACTTTCGATATATTTATCATAGAAACCGAATTAATAAACATTTGTTATAAACATTATAATTGTTTAGAATCCTCTTTCATGTGTAAACATCTATATAAACAAAGAGTCGTACAAAATCAGATAAAGCGACACATTATGTGAATTAATGCAACTTTATTATATTCATCAACTAAATTGACCATTATACTTATTCCGCTTTAATCCAATACTAAATCCAATTCTGTAAATCCACTCAGGCTTGGCACATCATGTTGTAATTAGTATATTAGTAAAAACCCATTGATTTTTGGGGCAGGCCACCTGCCTGACATGTATCATTCTTAAGAATTGAAAGAAAAAACCAGATTTGGGACCATGATCTGTGAGAACACACAAACATAACTGTCCCATGTGGGAATTGAACTTTCGACCTGTTGCCTTCAAGCCAGTAGTAGCTCAGCAACTGTGCCACCATTCTAATCTATTAGGGTTATTACCAACAAATTCCCACCTCTCCCACGCCTTGCGTGCTCTCTTGACAAACTTGATTACTTTTGAGTTGGATTGCAATTTTTCTTACCAAGAAGAGCTGTTCAAACTAATCCTTACAACGTGTCTATAGCTGTGATTGTGTCACTAGAAACCATCGGACAACACGAAAGAAAAATGCCGCAACTTCCTCGCGAACCTGCTCGACTTGTCTAGTAAGGAGCCCAAATCGGTCGAGAGGAGTGTAAGGAACCTCATCCAAGAACTGATTGATGCACAGGTGGAACCCGAAGAATTCTGCGATAGGCTTGAACGTCTATTAAACGCCAGTCCTCAGCCCTGTTTAATTGGATTTTTAAAGGTCTGTTTTAAAACAAAGGAGATATTTGAATTTTACAATTTTATAATTATACATTACCAATCTCATGCACTTTTAAGTGCTTTAAAACTTTCTGTTATTACAAATTATTTATTTCATTAAAAAAATTTCTATTTGTTACAGAAAAGTTTACCTCTACTTCGACAGTCCTTAGTTACCAAGGAACTTATAATTGAAGGTATTAATCCACCTGCTCCTCATGTGGCATTTTCAACAATCCCTACACCAACGCAGCAAGTCATTACTGCACCAAATGTACAATTGGTAAGTTTTTTCTGTTATTAACCAAAACACTTGTAAGTTTGAGTAATTAAATTGTGGCATTCCTTTATTGTTACTATTATTTAGTTAAAATTTGAATAATAAAACTTAGTTGTCAATAATTTTTTGCTAAAAAGGTATAGTTATCTATTACCAATATGCTATTTGGTTAGCAGGTTTTTAAGATTTTTATGACATCTGTTCAACTTTTCTATTTGTTACCTTTTGCAATAAACAAATAAATGTAATCATGCAGTGCTTTAATTTCTTTCTGTTTTATATATTTTTTAAAAGTCAGAAATCTAACAGGGTGGGCCTAAAAATTATAAATGACTACATTCCAATAGTAACACTTCAGCCTTGTAGTCATCCAGTCTAAATTGAGAATTAAATAACTTTACGTAATTAATTATTTCTTCCATTTACAATCTCTGTTCAATAGCAAAAACCTGTACCAAAACCTGGTGGTACTATTGCTGTGCTGCAGAACATTCCTGTCCATACTAAAATAAATGTCAGCAAAGTTGGAAAGACAATGACAGTGAATAGTAAGGCCAGTTTCTCCCGTCCCACCATGCAGTCGGCGGCGCTTTCTACTGTTCTCACGCCCGGAAAATCCCTTCTGAAGGAGAAAGAAAAGAGAACTACCATGCCATTCTCTGCGCAGCCCTATGTCGACGACAAGATGGCTGGTGATGATGATATAAATGATGTTGCGGCAATGGGCGGTGTTAATTTAGCAGAGGAATCTCAAAGAATCCTTGGCTCCACAGAAATGATTGGAACACAAATAAGGTACATCTCTATTGCCACCTGACAAGCAAAATCTATCAATCACATATATGTTAGATCATTAAAATGTTAAGTAATTGACTAATAATGTTCTGTCGTGGTAAGTCTGCACTGCTTGGATGAACTTAATTTATATCTTTGTGGAACATACTGTGGTAGGGGCACGCGAAGCTTCGACCGTTCTGTGAATAGGCAGGTCCATCCAGGCAAGTACCACAACCTCACAGAAGACCGGCGTGAAGTGGAAGAGTCATACTTCTGCATTTCGTATGTCGGTCATTCGTCGTGAGGTAGCGGGCACCCACTTTATTAAAAGGTGGCAAAGCATTTGCAACCCTATCAAATGTTGCAAATGTCCATGGGCGGTCTTTATCACAAAATTGAGAACCGACAGCTTCTCACATCAAAAAAAAAACATGGATTTTATATTAATGTAGCTATGTCCCATTGGGATAAGATTTATTGATCATGGATTTTTTTTAACATTTGTATTATATCTTTTTAACATGAAAGACAAATTATATGAAACATTTTTTTTATTTTTTAGATCTTGCAAAGATGAATACCTGATACCACTTAGTGTAATGCAAGCCAAGGTGAAAGCCTACTCCTTGAAATTTGGGCTTGAAGAACCACCTCCAGAAGTAGCATGTCTACTGATTCATGCACTTCATGAAAGACTGAAAAACATTATAGAAAAATTGGCTGTTATTGCTCAGCACAGGATTGATCTTTCCATGAAAGTATGACTTATATATAAAATATTTTAGTAATAAGATGTCTTAGTATAACTATGGTTATATCTTTTTACCTTTTACAAATGTTAATTGGAACATACTGATACAAATTCCTGTGGTTTAGTTAGTTTTGTGTTCTTTATTGATACATATTTAAATTACTGTTATAGCTTTGCGTCAGTGCGATTATTCCTATTTCTTAAAAAGAATTCAGTTATCGAATGAGCAAATGTTTATGTTAATGCTATCATTTATAATTTTTTGTTTTTTATATTTATGTTGATGTTTAGCGAATGAATAATACAAAAATACACGTCTAAAATTTAGAAATGTTATTGTTTTTTGTATGTTTATTTTGAGGTATATGTATATTGCCTTGTGCATTTTGTAAGTTAAATCTTGACAAGTTACTGACTTGTTAGTCCACATTATTTTTAAGTAAAATTGGAGTTTAGACTCGTGAATGCTGAGCGCAAAATATTTTTCGATAATTGTCATTTTTAAATTTTGTGCGAGTGATTGTTTAATGATCGTTACGGTAATTTTTATTGACAGACGGATGGGCGCTACGAGGTGACCCAAGATGTGAAGGGTCAACTGAAGTTCCTGGAGGAGAGAGATCGCGTCGTGAAGAAGAGACGCGAGGACTCGGAGAGGGAGATGTTGCTCCGCGCCGCCAAGTCCCGCTCTAAGAACGAGGATCCGGAGCAGGCGAAGCTCAAGGCGAAGGTGATTTTGTATCGTGAGAGCTGCGATCTCTCCGATCGACGGGTTTCTTTTGTGCCGACGATGGGAGTGCGAAGCTATCGGGCGTTCTCGGGACGTCGGATGGACTCGCCGCGGTGTGCCCGTGAACGCTCTTCGCCGATCGGGCGGGGCGCGAGACGCGACGGTTTCGCGGTTTCCGTGTGACCGTGTCGAGCGTCGCGACGCGGGCGCTGAGACGTCGTCCGTTTCGTTGCAGGCGAAGGAGATGCAGAGGGCGGAGCTGGAGGAGGTGCGGCAGCGCGAGGCGAATCTGACGGCGCTGCAGGCCATCGGGCCGCGCAAGAGGCAGAGGCCCGGCGACGGCCCCGGCGGCTCGGCGGACGTCGCGCCCGGCGGGGACGGACAGGGCGGCAGCGGCCTCGTGAGTAATGCGGGGACAACTCCGCGGCGCGGCCGAGGCACCGCCCGCGGCATCGGGGGCGGGTTCGATTCCCACTCGAGACCGACATTCACGCGACCCACAGGCGGTCCTTTCGAATCCGAATGAATTTTATGTACCCACGTCAAACGCATTCACAACACGGGACAACGTTATCCTAGCGTAAGGGCAACGTTTTTAAAAAAGGATAAAAAAACTACACCACCGAAGTTTACGTTTATTGACGCTTTCATCTCAAACCAAGACAGGAGCCTAACGTTTGTACGATCGAATCCCCCTCTCTCAACAGACGGGACGCAGTCAGATGGCTCTACGTACACGCATCAAGCGCATCAACTACCGAGACATGCTCCTCTTTCTGGAGCAAGAACGAGAGACATCGCGCTCTCTGTTGCTGTACCGGAGCTACCTGAAGTAATCGGGATACATCGCGCCAGGCATCCCAACGCTCCAGTCGACACACTGAATATTCAACAACGGGAGTACGAGTTCGATTCTTATATATCTTGAATCTTACTCGATTGAAATGCCTCGAGCAGCTTTTCAGTGTGAAATTTGTAACACCCTTTTAGTATATCAATAATTAAAATTTACTCGCAAAGTTATGTCACTATACATTATGTTAATATTCACATCTTTAATATGGAACATACTCATCAGTAATTATCACAGGCTTAAATATGGGACTGCTAAAATAATACAGTAGACAAAGCACTTCACTTATAACAATTTCAAACAACAGCCTCTTTTTATAATAATCATATTATCATGTTTATCATATTTAATCCCATACTTTTATTATACTATTAAAATTTACATAAGTTTTATCCAAATCCAGCTTATCAAGATCTCAAATGAGTATATATAAATTTGAATCATAAAATTGAATTGTTTTTCATACTTATGTATATTTGTTCACCACATTATAATGGCAAAAATAATTTTATGATATCAAGATAAGTTTTAATCCAAATTGTACATAAGTTTTATTTGTTACTTTCATTTCATTTTGGTTTTTAAACTATTATTGGTTGTTGAATACTTTAAGACTAGATTTTAAGATAAGAAATAAATCTCCATGAAGGTAATGCATCATCAGATTATGCATTTTGTCCTAAGTCGTAGAATAACAGGTTTTATAATTTATATATACAAATTTCCTTTACTTTTTGTTATTGTTTCACATAATATAGGTTCCACCAAAATTCTTGAAATTGACATATTCTTGATCTTTATTTTACTAACAAATCAGTGATATATAGATAAAATTCATAGATTGTTTGATATTCTTCATATAGTAACAAAATGTCAAAGGACACTGTTATTTCCTTACCAATAATACGATAATCTAGTTTATTTTCAGCAATATAGGTGGTATTCATTCCCCTAAGTATAACTTAATGTTTTATCTTAAGACTTGTAGTTAAAAGTAGCATTGTTGATAGTGTAGCTTATGTATTAACTGTCACTATTTTAAAATGATGAGTCGTAACTATAATAATAATTGTTTACAATAACTGTTACACTCCACTAGTTTTACATAATAACTAACAACTATTTACAAGTAGCATCTATTACATTGAAAAGTAAATATCGGCAGACATAGTAGTATAAACTGTGTCACCAAAATACATGAATTTATTTGTAATTGCAATAAGAAAACCAGTGAAAATAAATATGATATTAAAGATCAAACAATTTTATACTTTTTAAAATTCTTGTCAAAATAAAAATTTTAAATTCACCTTTAAATTTGCTGGTTGATGTTAAAAAAGATGAGTAATTATGTTTACAAATGATTTATATATACTTTTAAAGACTAGGCCATACCAGTTATCCTAGAGTGAGCGTATTTATATCAGGATCAACTAGCTTGGTCTAGTCTAAACTGGTCTATTCTATCGGGCTTGGGACAAATTAGTTTGGACTAGCCTTGACTGGTTTATCCTATCAGGCTTGGGCCAAATTAGTTTCGACTATGCTATACTAATTACTCGTATTGCGTATAGGTAGGCCTAGGCAAAACTAGTTTGTCCTGAAATCGGGTTTGGCCGGTAACATATTCATTAAACACTAAATAATTAACCAAACATAAGTAAAAACTCTACATAGATATTTTACAAAATATATATGACATGTATGCGGATGATGTATGAAAGTATACAGGATGTTTTTATAGACGACGGACGTATTAACAGAGCATATGCACAATTTGATTCTAAATCTGAATCTGGTATATTCTTGTGACCTCATTTTATTATTCAAAGATTTTTTTAAAAAAAATTCAAATATTATGGACATCCTATTAGAAATTCCTGCCTTACTGTCTCAATACAATAAGCTAGCCACTGATCTCACTGTGCCATTGCTGTTAGCTGTTTCAGTTGTTGATATGGCATCTGTGTTAGTTACCACTCTTAACAGGATAACCAAAAAATGTTTCAATTGATATTTTTCTGGGTATTTCTTGTCAAAATAAAACATTAATATTCTCTTTTTGAAGTATGAAATGCTCAATTAACATTATGTCAAAGCATGTACTTCGTCTAAAAATCATCCTGTGTAATGTCATAATAGGTTTAAGCTTATTGATGTAAATTTAATAATAGATGTGCTATTTATAATTTAGTAATATCTTTGTTGTAACATCTCATGAATGTTTTCATTTCACTAATGTATTTTAGGTTAGTCATAGCCTAAGGATGTAATACAGAATAACTCGATAAATTGTGTATTTATTCCAATTTTATCATTTTAAAAACTACATAATAAATATTTTATCACATGGAACTTAGAGTAGTTTTTGATTAAAAAGTCTATTACGAATTTCAATTGCGTAATAAGTACAGTAAGGTACACGCTATTTCAAATTCAAACAAAGCTATGGTGTGTAACCAACTGTAGTGTGAGTACTGCTCTAATTAGTTAGGTAATGAAAAACATAAAGATACATATATCGGCTCATTGCGATCCAGTGCTTCCCACAATGGATATGTTCCACTGTGATCTAGTTTTCTGTAGCTGAGTACAGCTTACACCACACAACTTACCAAGCTACCACCGTACGGTTCTTTTATGCTCATCCGAAAAGCTGTCCAGGATGATAGGAAGTCGCTGGTCAAGGGATAGGGATGAAGGCAATATATGTAGAAACTTTACCTTTTTTTTATGTGAAACGTTGCCAAGCGAGCAGACGGTTCACCTGATGTTAAGTGAATACCACCGCCAATGGACGTTTGCAACACCCGAGGGTTCCAGATGCGTTGACAACCTTTTGAAAATTGTGCTCTGACCACCTCACTCACCAGACGCGATCTTAAACGCGAAAGTATTATACTTTACGCCGGTCTTCTGTGAGGTCGTCGTGGTACTTACCCAGACGAGTCTGCCCATTCGTGCAACAGCCGAGGCTGCTGCGTGGCCCTACCACCGTTAAAACCCTTAAAACCTTTAAAGATTTAGGATGTCAACCCCCTCTACCATCTGTTACTCAATCCACCTGTCGCTCCCCCGTAATCTCTAGTGATTTAATTTCAAAATACGTATTTTTTAAAGTAAACACGTAATTTAAGTAGCCTTATATTTTACTTAATTAAACATTTCTTTTTCACTAATTTGCACTTGTCGGTAGGTAAGACTCGACCCTATCGCCCTCGTAAACGCCTCACGTAATTAATAAGAAGATAGAGCCGAAATATGCCAATTGCACGGAATATAACGCGGTAAATAGTAGGCGGTGCCCGGTATTTCAGCGCTTAACGAAAATTCTGGGTATAAAGATGCTAAAGCTACAGCTGCTACCAGTTCTACTACCAACCAGAGCGACCACTGATAAAGTGCGAAAGTTTCCCTCCCCTCTAACAATAATAATCTGACAAAAAAGATACCCCGCCTAGGACGATGTCTGTAGTATGATTTTTGTAGTATGATTTTCTACGATTTTAGTGTAGTTAGAGAGTTCAACAGAGCCTCGCTAGGCTTCAATCTTCTTTTGACGATGAAACACCATTGCTATTTATAACTGGATTGCGGAATTCAAGCGTGGTCGTGTTAATCTCAGTGACGAATCTCGCGATGGTCGCCCGTCCACGCGAGATTCGTCACTGAATGTGAACAACAAAAACATCGACGTTGTCCACCGTATGATCGAAACAAACATAGGCGTGAGTCAAATACAATCAATACTACACAAACATTTGGGTAAAAGCTATGTTCGCAGTACATCGCACACGATTTGACCGGCTCAAAAAACCGACCGCGTCACTTGGTGTTAACTGCAATGCCATGCTTACCAGATTCAATTAAGGGGCGTCAAATTTGGTGTGGGACATAGTGACAAAAGGTGACGAAGTATAGATTATTGCTACGATCCCAAAACAAAGCAGCAATCGAGCGTATTGGTCTATCAAGATGAGTCGAAACCAAGCAAAGTGCAGCGCATGAAAAGTGCATTTAAGTGGATGATTGCTTCTTTTTTTCATAAAACTGAACACGTGGCCACTGTTGCTTTAGAGAATCGTCGTACCGTGACTGGTACATGACCATTCTGGAAACTTGTAGCACGCCCCACGTACAACCGAATTAGGAACCTCTTCTTTTTTGTAGTCGATTGAAAGTGATTTACTGAGCTGTTTAGTTTAGCATTAAGCAATTTTGAAAACTCATTATTGTGTCGTTGGTTTATTTCATTCTCGAGTCGATGTAACTAGGATTTTCTATTTTTATTAATTTATTAATCTTTCGCCAATTTTAAGTAAAACAGAGGTAATAAAGGGCGGGCTTAATGCCCGAAAGAATTAATGCGTTGTGTAGTTTAAAGATCTAAGTATACATAGGGACAGACATACAGTGGGACGACTTTGTTTTGTATTATGAGTCATATGTAGTATATATTATGTAATAGCATTTAAAAGAATTGATTTATAAATATAATATATATACATATATTAAAACCTGAAGCAAAATTAAGTTAAACGTCCTTTTTTAATAAGTAAAAATCGTTAAAATTGTTTGTGTATACAATTTTAATACGTGAAGAAGGGTTGTGTCACTTCACAGGCTGGTCTGGTTGAAAGGGCTTGGAAGAGAAGTTAATAGGGAACTTAATTTTTTAAATGTTTAGTGTTAAAGTGTACGAAAGTTGCCTATTAGTCAAACTATTGAAAGATTATTTTAAAACTAACTCTGCATTTGAGCGTACTACAGCCGAAGCCGTATCAGTAGAGCGGTATCATTATCATAACTAATACCTAATTTTAATATTTTGTTATACAAAAGTTACACAGACTTTGTGTTAAATAAAAGCAAGTTGAGTCTTAACATACTACCACGAGGAAAGCCTTAGCCTATTTTTACTCCATGGGAGCGATTAGTCTAATAACTTTTAAGAATAAGTGGAACGAGTGGAAGAAGAGTTTGCTCTATTCCGTGATACACATACAACACACTTTTCTTTTAAACCTACTCGGAATAGTAGTCAAAAGCCATGGATGGTGGAGAAGCCACACCTTGATAAATCGTCACAAAGGAAAATTTAGAAGCTAAGCTTCTTCCAAAAATATTAGAATTATTATGTTTCTATGCAATAAGAATAATAGCTGCTAATCTCATCAGTGGTACTATATTACGCTTAGTCAATCCATTTGTATTCAGATTTTTATTACAATATTTTTATGTTTTTATTGGAAATTTGTCTCAATATTTTACTAGTGCGTAAATCCGAACGATAAAGCATCAGAAAAAAAATAAAGTGACACGTCCACCCACCCTGTCAAATTTCCACGGTTTCTTTGGTTCTGCATGATAATTTTTCATGTTTTAACTTCAAAAAATGGTAAGAATTACTCTAAATATGTGATTACACTCAGATCGGGGTGAGGATACGTGCAGTGACTAATAAATCTAATTTCCGCCACGTACTTAATTATCGGATAGCGGTGTCATCATTCATGTTGTCGGCTTAACGACTACGTGACGGTAAAGTACCTTGATTCTAGGCTTTAGTGATACAGTTCTAATATTTCGTTATGTTTCCAAAGCCGTTACGTCTGGACATTAAGAGAAAGCTGACTGCGAGGAGTGATCGAGTGAAATGCGTTGATCAGCATCCTACGGAACCATGGCTTCTCTGTTCTTTGTACAGTGGTGATGTCAACATATGGAACTACGAGACGCACACGCAAATCAAAAGATTCGAGGTAATTTTACCCACTTTAAATACTTTATTATTTCTGTTTTTGTTTAATTTACATTTTCTTAATTGTGTGCAGTATAAGTCAATATTATAAGAGAAAAGTTATTTATGAAGTGTTCTATTATAATATACATTATATTTTTTCAACTCAGACAATAATATTTACAAAAAGGGAACCAATAATATTTTTATGTTCACTTGATTAATAATAAGCATAATTGACATGTTTTGTGATGTTCCCAAATTCAATTGATAAGCTAAACCCAAGTAAAAAAATAACAAATAAAGTTTATTTTATATACTTAATACATATTGATATATATTAATAAATCAAAAGTGTTTTCAATTTCTCTGGATTAGACATTGATTATTTGTTGACAATAGTTTGAAATATTCAAGTGCCCAAACTAAACATCATATTGAGCCAACACCTGAATTCAGATTATAATATCTTTATATATATATATATATATATATATATATATATATATATATATAATGTGAATAAATCTCAGTTAAAGTGAATCTGTTATTAAAATACTAATAATAAAAAAATATTCAAGTGCCAAGTTTTATTATATAGTTGAATTTTTTAAATACTAACAGATAATTCCGATGGTTTAGTAGAACTTAAAGTTTAACCTTAAACTTAAGTTTAAATTTGTGAAGCCTAAATCAATACTTAGTTTAGTCTAGTGTGTTAAATAATATACTATTGTAGGTTATAGCTTTCCATGTAGTGTGTTTTCTTTTCTTTTATAACTTTGTTTATTGTCACAGGTGTGTGATTTACCAGTGAGAGCAGCTAAATTTGTTCCGAGGAAGAACTGGGTCATTACAGGCTCAGATGATATGCAAATAAGAGTATTCAATTACAACACATTAGAAAGGGTACATGCATTTGAAGCACATTCTGATTATGTAAGGTGTATTGCGATCCACCCTACGCAGCCTTACATTTTGACAAGCAGTGGTAGGTGCTGATTTGCTTCTTGATAAATTTGTTTTATTAAATTTTGTAGATGAGCAAGCATTATATTTTTGCCTTTCTAATGACTATTACAACTTTTATTGATTATTGGTTAAATTATGTTTTTCTAAAAAGTTAATATAGAATTACTAGTTCAACTTTATTTATCATCGGAACCCTTCACAGATGACTTGCTCATTAAACTATGGAACTGGGACCGAAGTTGGACATGCCAGCAAGTTTTCGAGGGCCACACCCATTATGTCATGCAGATCGTCATCAACCCAAAGGATAACAACACATTTGCTAGTGCCAGTCTTGACACGACTGTTAAGGTTATTACTCATTTTATGTATATAGATGAAATGAATATAATAAGTGTTACCTTTTTTATAATTATTGGTGATGGAAAAATCATTGTAATGTGCAAGCATGTGTATTGTTGTGTTCACAAGGGGTTGAGTTATAATTATCATTTTAGGTTTGGCAATTGGGCTCTTCTATATCCAACTTTACTTTAGAGGGCCATGACAAAGGTGTTAACTGTGTAGATTACTATCATGGTGGAGACAAACCTTACTTAATAAGTGGTGCTGATGATCGTCTTGTAAAAATATGGGATTACCAAAACAAAACTTGTGTGCAAACTTTGGAAGGTGAGTTATGGAAATAATATATAACTATAATAATATTGACAAGTTGTTTATTGTATAAAAAAATAGTTGCCCCTGTTTGTGTTTTATTCTTGATAATAATATAAAATCCTATAAGAAAATGTATTCAAATAAACATTGTGTTTCGGGGAATAAACACTTAGTATTAAATATTCACCTCTCTCAGTGCCGATCTTGAATAAATCAACCTGAATAAATCAGTCTGTGTCATTTTTCTTTTGGTGACTAATACGTGAAATTTAATTTTAAAGGCCATGCTCAGAATGTGACAGCCGTTTCATTCCACCCTGAGTTGCCAATCTTGCTAACCGGCTCAGAAGATGGCACAGTGAGAATTTGGCATGCTGGCACCTACAGGCTTGAGTCTTCATTGAACTATGGTTTTGAAAGAGTCTGGACAATTTCATCAATGCATAATTCCAATAATGTTGCTCTTGGGTAAGTTTTAACTAGTTTTCTATGTATCAATTTTGTATCATTTTGTAAAGTTTAATAATCTTTGTGGTTTTCAAATAGATATGATGAAGGCACAATAATGATTAAGGTTGGCAGAGAAGAGCCAGCAATATCTATGGATGTGATTGGGGGCAAGATAATATGGGCCAAACATTCAGAGATGCAGCAAGTGAATCTAAAAGCTCTACCTGAAGGTTAGTATTTGAATTCTCTTGACCAAGCAGTGATTTTTGCAACATATTTTTAAATATGCTATTAATTGTCCATTTCAAATACATATTTATCTAATAGAGTTATTTAATGCAGGCACTGAGATAAAAGATGGTGAGAGGGTTCCTGTAGTGGCAAAAGACATGGGCTCCTGTGAAATTTATCCTCAAACAATTCAGCATAATCCTAACGGTCGTTTTGTGGTCGTGTGCGGTGACGGCGAATACATCATTTACACTGCCATGGCGCTAAGGAATAAGGCTTTTGGTGCTGCTCAAGAATTTGTATGGGCATTTGATAGCTCGGAGTATGCCACCCTGGAGAATTCCAGTACTGTGAAAGTCTTCAAGAATTTCAAAGAGAGGAAGAGTTTTAAGCCGGAGTATGGTGCTGAAGGTAAGGGAAGAAGATTTGTCACTAAACTTCTTAAATGTAATGAAAAAATTTCCTTTCCAAAGAAATATAATTTTTGTCAAATAGATCAAATCTTATTTATTGGTCTGTGGCTTATCATTTCCTTTTTGTATTTACATTAATTTAATATCTAAAATTTGGTTTAGTGAATTGTTTGTCTCTCATGTTATATCAACATTTTTAGAAATTGTATTTTGCAAATTGTACATTTCCAGGTATATTTGGTGGTTTCATGCTTGGTGTGAAATCTATAAGCGGCGTTGCATTCTCCTTCTACGATTGGGAGCAATTGGAGCTGGTCCGAAGGTTTGTGGCATTTTAGACTCTTATTATTTTATGGTTGCGTTGGCTCGATATTAGAAATACAAACAGAGTTCCGTGTTTCGAGTTCAGTTAGAGGGATGGGGACACAATCACTTTCTTGAATACTTTACATGGATTGGATGCTGCCACAAATTGGTGCCGTTTTAGTGTATAAGTGTTGGACATGCAGTGGGAGCTCTGTATTTGATAAAGCTTAATTGAAGAGCTATTGTCGGAATATGAACGTTGAATTGGCGCCGGCCGATGCGTAATGGCTCCATTGGAGTGTGGCATTATGGTTTAATTTTTAATGAGCGCACTTGCAGCGACTGTACTTTGCTTGGATGGTATAAATTATGTAGTTTGCAGTAATGTTAGTTTTTATGTGTACATTTTGCAAAGAGTTTAGAACTCTGAGAAATCATATTGAATTTATTGAAAATATTTTTGAGGAATATCCAATGAAATGTAAAAATGCTTTAAATAATTTATTATAATTTTCATAAAAATTAATACTAAAAAAAAAAACCTTAAAAAGTTTAGGTTTAGGAAAAAATAGTTGACTCAATATATAATGTGATTGTGTATGGTATTTTTAGACAATGCTAATTTATGACTTTTTTTGTTATATACTACTTCGCCAGAGCATAATTTTTCTCTACGATTTATTGATTTTCGGACTTGCTTGTGTAGTTCATATAAATAATAACATTGAAAGTTTTCGACCTTCAAAGGTTAATGCTACGTATGCATACTTTATATAAATATTTTATGGCATTTCTGTTAATTCCTTGACTCCTCTCAACTAAAGCTCTATGCGAAATGATCTCAAGACTAGAATTTTGTTTGCTTTGCGAGCTAACTTTTTTATTATTTATTTAGAAGCATATGAGCTTAATTTATAGGGATTTTTATTTATGATTGTAACATTATATGCTAATAATTCTCTCTGACTTTAAGTACTTCATACCAATAAATGAATGATAAATATTTGTGCATCGCGAGACGCGTAAACTTTTGACACACTATTTTTACTTATTATTTTGTCTTAAACATAAAGAAAATATTGTTTTGCTATGCGAATATGAAGACTAAGATTTCTTTATTTCTTTTCTGCTAAGTTCATATTGTGAATGCACTCGAGGTGCCTTGTCGTTTGGCATTCAAATGAGGCGTATCCTGATTTATCCTTCAACTAACCTCGAAGTTGAACACTGCTACATGTTTTTCTTATCACATCCAGAAGTCAATATCCTTGTAATCATATTGATCTTTATTCGGTGCGCAAATAATGCGATCTCTTAATATACTCTTTCACGCCAAAACTATTTAACCGATTTTCGTGATACTTTGTACACGAAGCCGCGGGTAAAAGCTAGTATATGTATAAAGTTATTCTCGTTATCTGCTTAATTGAATCCAACTATCAATAACGCATTTGTAATATATCATAATGTATTTCGTATATCGATTTCTATCGAGCTCGTTAGTAATTAATATCCAGTTGATATTTCTATCAAAATTTGAAGAGAGATAGATTTTTGTGAGATTTTCAACATTTTCGGCCAAGCTAATGCCACGAAACATTTTAAAACTGAAATCGAACAGGGTTTTTGGCTATAGCACTCTATGATTCGCCGTTACGGCGCGTTTTGGTGACTAACGCTATCCGATTAGTCGGGAGGCTGGCGAATCGCCTCGCGCCATGTGTGCCGCGATGTTGAGGTTTCGCGATGTGGGCTATGCCGCTGACGCAGCTGACTCCCGTCCCAGGATCGAGATCCAGCCGAGGCACGTGTTCTGGTCGGAGAGCGGCGGGCTGGTGTGCGTGGCGGCGGACGAGTGTTACTACGTGCTGCGCTACAAGGCGGCGGTGGTGACGCGGGCGCGCGAGACCAACACCGGCATCACGGAGGACGGCATCGAGGACGCCTTCGAGGTGGGGACGCGACGGGAATGGAGTAGGAATAGCGCGATTGGCTCATGGCTCGCGTGACCGTGCAGCCCCTACCCCTACCCGGTTAAAAGAATGAGGCGGTTGTCGGCCGTGCCGTTGAGCCGATGCGGAACTTTATATCCTTACTTCCTTACTAACATTTAAAAGGCGGAAGTTTGTATGTATGCATGGATGTTTGGTACTCTTTCAGGCAAATACTACTAAATGGATTTTAATGAAATTTTACAATGATATAGCTTATACATCAGAATAAGACATAGGCTATAATTTATATACATATTTTTATGTATATCTGTTTTTCTGTCTGAATGTACGCCTTTAGCCCGTTCTACGTAGACGTAGTCGCGGGCAACAGCTAGTGTACTATAATAAGCTCAACTTATGTTGACACCCCTAAGTGTTTTGCCTAGTGTGTAATGTTTTTTTCTGAGAAAAAGTCCCAACGGACCAGTTCACCCGATGATAAATGTTTACCACCGTTTCGTCTGGTGAGTGAAGTAGCCGGTGCCCACTTTATTAAAAGTTGGCAACGCGTGTGCAACCTTACGGGTGTTGCAATGTCCATGGGCGGCCAAAAAAAAACTCGTCCCCTAGGTTACTATTTCATTGCCAGCTTTTAAAAGGTAAAAAATGACGCAGCAGTAATATTTGGACCAAACAATGCGTTTTTTAAAGTATGGCACTCAATTACGATACTTGCGCAGCGATCATAGAGTAATTGATAATTACTGTACGATCTGAGGTCGCTAGTACATTTTCACTAATTAATTTTTGATTTTTCGGATTTATCACTTGTACCAATTATGAAAATTGCCACTTCATTTTTATATTAACGTTACCCCAGTGATGTTTAATTGTCGAGTATGTCATTGAACAAACTATTAAGTCGGTAACGTTACATGAAAGCGAAGATAGTTTATTGTGTGCCCTAATTAACCGGGACCTGTCATTTGATGATAAGCCAACTGATAAAATTGAAACAGCGTCTATGTGAAATTATTATCCAGTCGATATTACAATGTAAAGTTCAATCGTACGAAAAAGTTTCATTATGGAATATTGTTTAGGTTTAATTATTTACTGAGGGCATGATTCGTGCATTTTTGTTTGGTAATGGTGGCAAAGGTGGTCTAAATTCTCTGTGTTTTTCTAGTGTCTGGATGGTTATGCTAAAAGTATGTTTAAGTATGTTCATCACTTATCTAGTACCCATAGTACAAACGTTGCTTAGTTTTGGACTAGAGAACGTTGTGTAAAAATGTGACCTAAAATATTATATAATATTTATAATATAATATTTTAGGTCACACCGTCCGGCAAAGTTTTCTTGCGGTCCACATCGCGACCCCTGCTACACATATGTGCGAAATATCACGCTAGGTTTTGCACGATGTTTATCTTAACTGACGATTACGTGATAAATCGGCACTTAATCAGTAACAGCAGTTAACAATTTAATTGGTACCGGCGCCGCGATTAGAGCCCAACTTGCTAAAGTATATTGAATTTTACGGTGGTAGGGCTGGCCCGTCCGGTTAAGTACCACGACTTCACAGAAGACCGGCGTAAAGTATGACAAATACTTTCGCGTTGCATCTGGTGAGCGAGGTAGCCGGAACCCAATTTTCAAAAGGTTGTCAACGCATCTGTAACCCTTGGGTGTAGCAGATATCCATGGGCGGCGGTATTCACTTAACATCAAGTGAACCGTCAGCTCGTTTGGCAACTTTTCACATAAAAAAAAGAATTAAAAACGATTGCCCGGACCCCGAGTTGCCACTACGTTTATGGTGAGATCTTTTATTTTGAGTTGCGATTTCTAGGGTATGATGGTTTGTCATCATGCTTTTGTCTTGATTTGTTACCGAAACTACGCTAAAATTATATAGGGCTTATTATATAAGGCCTCTTTAAATTGGCACGTAACACAAAATTAAAAAGGTCATAACTCTGCAACAAACCGTGTACCTGTACAGTCTCTCGCCGATCGGTACTCTGTGTTTGTTTCATCGAAATTACTTAAACTTTGCGATTCCCATTGGTCGCCGACTACATGTTGTTGGTTGACTCCGTGGCGCAGTCGCCAAGGTATCGGCTTAGGCGCCGCGGGTCATGGGTTCGATTCCCACACGGGACAACTATTATGAGTGAGCCATATATAGTTGTTTCGCATCTGGGTGTTTGTCTGCGTGAAATGTGTTTGTAAAACGTCCTTACAACACAGGTTAATGTTATCCTAAAGTAAGGAAAATGTTTTAAAAAAAAATAATTAAAAAAAAAAACACGTGGGCTCGAGCCAGGTCGTCGGCGAGGTGAACGAGACCGTGAAGACCGGGATATGGATAGGCGACTGTTTCATCTACACGAATTCCGTGAACCGCATCAACTACTACGTGGGCGGCGAGATTGTCACCATTTCCCACCTGGACCACACCATGTACATCCTCGGATACATCGCCAAGGAGAACAGGTGACCGTCTCCTTTATCAGGGAGGAGTTGCTTCTGATGTTGCACGAATGGGTTCGCGTTGGGGATAAACCACGACGTCGGAGGACCGGCGTGTAGTGTGAGGGCTAAATGTTTTTGAAGGTTGGCAACGCTTCTACAATACTTCAAGTGTCCCCGCTGGTTATAGCCCGCTGAGTTTATTTCGCCGGCCCTTCTCAGTACAGGGGCTTTCTTTCCACGAACCGGTGGTAGCATTTTGACTTAATATGCGAGTGTAATGCTCCTATGTGGAATAAAGATATTTGATTTGATATATTATGGATTTCCATGGGCGGTGGTAATCACTTAACATTAGGTGATCTTCGTAGGAACCAACTAACTACGTAAAAAGCAACGCCGAGCTTCTAGGGACACTGCTAACATGCGTCGCATATAAGCGGGGACAATCCTTACGGTGATATCCTCTGATCAAATATCGTGGTGAAGCTGGTCGTTGTTACGTTGATCTACGATTAAGCAGGCTCGACATGGGAAGTGCCGAATCATAAACATCTATGGGACGTGGTATCACAGAGCACCGACGAAAAGTCTAACCGCTGGCAAATGTAGAACGCGTGTGAGGTAACCGTGACTGAGGTTTCCACGGGTACTTCTGCAACTGCAATTTCTGCCGGTAAAATAGTTTACTGTATAGTGCAGCAGTCCTCAAAAATTTTTACGGTTGGTTTTATCAATTTAGTATCATCTTTAGCATCAGATAGTCATCTTTTAAATAGATAGTGGTTACATTATTAGTGTGTAACTCATATTGGTTCCAAACGACTTGACACGATAACTAGTTGTTGGGAATATTTTCAAAAATCGCTAATGCAGACCGTGTAGGTTTAATTAACGCCAACGGTATATTTATGACGCAATTTGTTGCCCTTATCAACTTACCATAAGGACGCTTATATACGAGACCTGTATGTTTGTATATATATCGCATGAAAATTTTTTCGTTGTCCCTCTCAGATTGTATTTGAACGACAAGGAGCTGAATGTGGTTTCGTTCTCTCTCCTTCTGCCCGTACTCGAATACCAAACGGCCGTGATGCGCGGTGACTTTGAGACGGCCGACAAAGTTTTGCCGACCATCCCCTACGACCACCGCACCAGAGTGGCGCATTTCCTCGAGAAGCAGGTACGTCATGCGAAATTATATTTCCTCAATTTCATGTGCCAACTGGAGTTTTCAACCGAATTCAAAAAAGGGGGACGGTCATAATTCGACTGTATTTTTTTTATGTTTGTTACCTCAGAACTTTCAACCGAGTCCATTGATTTTGATGTTTCTTTAATTGAAAGCTGGTGCTTCCCATGTGGGCCCATATTAATTTCATTGGTATTGGATCTTAGGTTTCGGTTCTTAGGGAACTCGTGAAAAAAGAATTTGTGAAATTAACAATTTGTGTAATTAATATTGTGAAAAAAAAAAAAGGATTTGTTCCTATATTTTCAATGACTATTTAAAGATGTAAGGAGCAGCGTATTAAGTATTATCATCATTATAGTATATATCTTTAAAAACGTCTTGTTCTTTGAATAAAATGTTCACGCAACAAATGTATAGTAATTATAGCTTAGATGTTTAGAAGCAACGCCGAAAGCTCCATTATCAGCGTTGATACCTTGTGGTATGAATATTATATAATACAAAAGCTTACGGATGAAATCTAATAGTACCTGGGCTATCGCTTTTTTTTTCACAAAAGAAGGAATTAATAAAAATGGGAAAAAAATAATCATCTTGACTGAGCTGCCCATCTGAGCTATTAAAACCTTGTAGATAGTGGCGAAATTTTCCTTCGCATTTTAATGATATTGTAACAGGTTTTCAATGTCCGGACGACTTTTTCTAAACATGAAACGTAGTCAGATCGATTTATCGCCCACCGTAAACCACACAATATTTTACGAAAGCCGCTGGAGCCGTTCACGTGATTCGGATTATAAATGTACACATACACAGGAATTGCACTGAGGTTGTCACCGAACGGCTGCAACGCCGGCCGACGGGAGTGGTCAATCAATCTCCATTCATTCATCCATTAATTGATTCATTCATCCATTCATTCATCCGTCCAACCGCCGGTGTGCAGGGCTTCAAGCAGCAGGCGCTCGCCGTGTCCACGGAGCCGGAGCACCAGTTCGAGCTGGCGCTGTCGCTGGGCGAGCTGCGGCGCGCGCAGCAGCTGGCCGAGGAGGCGACCGCCGCCGAGGGCGAGCCGTCGCGCACCTCCGCCGCGCGCTGGTCCCGCCTCGGCGCCGCCGCCGTCAGCGCGGCCGACCCGGAGCTCACCAAGATATGCTACGAGCGCGCGCGCGACTACAGCTCGCTGCTGCTGTTCGCCGTCAGCACCGGTCGGTACCGCCGCACTGCTCGCCCACGTCGCGTAGTTGCACGCGAACGCCCGTTGGGCTGCGGGTGCGTTGGACGCTCGTTAGTTGCATGGCTTCGTAACTTTCATAGGGACTTGTAGATTGAAGGAACGCCAGTAACTCACTTTCCGTAGGTAATGAAACGGCCAATTGTTAACATAGGAAGCGGGCGTACACGCCTTTTATCTAGGAGTCGTTATGAAAGTTTCGAAGCTATGTAACTAACGGCCGTTCGTTGAATATAGGAATCGGGCATTAATAAAGTGGTCACCCACATTCCATGGCGAAACGCAGAAGTGAAACACTTCCACTTCACCCCGGTCTTCTGCGAGGCCGTGGTACTTGCCCGGACGGACCTATCCCATTCGTGCAACAGCGAAGATGCGTCGCCCTACAGTTGATATTTATTTAGATACTATTCTGTTTAGGATACGTTATCTTAACGGCCTCCTCGATTGTTCGCACCTTAATAGAATGGCGCTTACGCGAGGAATGATTTGAAGATGCTCCAAATGTACCTTCGGTTTAGCTGACTGTTGCGGGGATGGCCGCTTCCCACAAATCCGTGGTTCTTTTTGTCTCGACTTGTACGTTTAAATTTATAAATTACAGGAAATCGAATAGTTTCCGTATTCAGTTGAAACGGTATTTGAAGGTGACGACTAATATCATTATCAGGTGACAAAAAGCTGTTGGAGCACGTGGCACGGGTGACCTTGGAGGAGGGCGATGACAACATCGCTTTCGTGGCCTACTTCACACTCAACGAGCTGGACGCTTGCCTCGATCTGCTCATAAAGCGCCAGAAACTCTCCGAAGCCGCGTTCTTTGCCAGGTAACGACACATCATGTTAATCGCACCATCTCGGGCCATCAATCATATCTCCATTTGCGGAAATAGGACTCTCTATGGGCGGCGATAATCAGTTTATACAGTTTATAGGATAGAAAAAGAATTGTTATAATTTTAAATTATTCTTATACCTACTGAACATATAAAATTTCATCAAAATCGGTCAAGTCTGAGTGTAAACATTAAAAATCTGACACAAGAATTTTATATATAAGAATGTTTGTTTATGTTTGTGTGTTTATTCAATTTTGGTTTATATTGATATTATTAATTAAGTTTATTGAGCACACAACGTCCCCATTATTCATTAGTTTAATCTTCCTTGTCCTAGAGAAGTCTTGTCGAGATCGCTTTTTAGTGATAACACCGCCTTACTCTACGCCTTAGTCACTTTTAAGATTTATTTCATATTAATTATATTAAATTCTTTTTAGTGTACAATAGAGTATATATATATATTAATAAGTGGTATAACTAAACGTCCGGTGCGTCCCCGAAGGTCATACATTCCGTCGAAGGTGTGCGAAGTGGTGAAGCTATGGCGGGAGGCGGTCGGCGCCACCAACAAGAAGTCGGGCCAGTCGCTCGCCGATCCGCGCAAATACGAGAATTTGTTCCCGGAGTTTGCGGTTAGTACGCTCAGACAACTTTTTCAAAACCAAAGTCAAAATCAAATGCCTTTATTCAACATAGGATCATTACACTCGCTTATTGATAGTCAAAACACTACCACCCGTTCGGAAAAGAAAGCCACTGTACTGAGAAGAACCGGCGAAAGAAACTCAGCGGGTTTTTTTTTTAAATAAGCAGTTTGACATGAATTCTTTACAAATACAATATAAGAACTCTGATTGAAAGAGCCTGGAGCGATCAGTTCATTACCAGAGTGTGTTATCATTTAAATATTATAATAGCCTCTAACACACAAACGTTCCTTTACCATTTTTTTAAATTTAGCTATTGATGCATTTTGAACGTTTTCTGGAATTTTGTTGTAGTAACGTATACATTGTCCCATAAAAGATTTACTTATTTTGCGCAGTCTACTTGTAGGTAGGATCAATTTATTGTTGTTCCTAGTATTTATATCATGAACATTATTATGTCTTGAAAATTTATCCTTATTTTTATGGACATACATAACATTTTTAAAAATGTATTGAGCAGCAACAGTCAATACCTTTAACTCTTTAAACAAGTTTCTTAACGATTCTTTGGGGCCCAGATTGTAAACTGCACGAGTAGCTAGCTCTCTTTTGTAGGATAAAGATTGTATTAATGTTGGCCGCGTCACCCCAAAGCAGAATGCCATAAGACATTATACTGTGGAAATAACTAAAATACTCACTGTCGCTTCCCAATATATTTATTGTAATATTTTGTATGTCTATATATAACAATACAACAACAAACATAATCTTAATTGCTACCTAAAGAATAGTCTGACTTAAATTAAATACTAGAAAATATACAAATTAGCAGCGCCATTGTTTCGTCTACAAAAAGTAAATAGGTCGTTCACGGGGCAAAGTATTTTTAATAAAATCCCACTCAAGCCAAAGTTTTCAACTTAGAATCTGCCCACACTCATAATGATTACTTACTGTTCAAGTTATAAGCATTTTAATTGACTTTATTACCTTAGCATGGTATGGGTATTATATATAGCCATTTTTACCAACATCCGCCTAACCTGTTTAGTGACCCTTTATAATAAGTAATGATTTCTTGAATTCACAACACAGTGTAAAATTAAACCATTTTACGATTCGATATCGTTTTGCACCTTATAAATGATAAAACTTCGGTACTTAAAACCTAGTTACCGTTGCCAGATTTGGGTACAGTTGGAATGACTGTTTTTTTTTTCAATTCGGCAGGAGTCCTTGCAACTAGAGACATTCCAGCGGCAGTTTGGGTACGAACACAGCGTTCAGCTTGAGAACCTGACTCTCGACTACTCGCATTCGAACCTGGAACGCAATCTGGCGACGGAGAAGACCTCGGCGGTGGACGCAGGCGAATGGAAACCACCATTAAAAACGGAAAGGTATCTACATTCTCTTACGTTAAAAGGTGGCAAACGAAAAGCTAACGGTGCACATGATGTTAAGTGATAACCACCGCCCATTGACATTTGCAACACCAGTAGCCTTTTGATAAAGTGGGCCCCGACTACCTCACTCACCAGACGAAACGCAGAAGCATAATACTCCCCCTTTACGCCGGTTTTCTGTGAGATTGTGGCACTTGCATGGACAGACCTGCCCATTCGTGCAACAGCGAAGACTGTTGCGTGGTTCTACCACAGTTAAACAATAAGACTACCATTTCGCCTGTTCCTATAAACAGCTATTTTATTTTGTTCCTTACGAGCACTATGCTTATTCTTCCTTATTGTGTGAATTGTACAAAAGATATAACAGTGGCAAGTAAGTAGGAAAAAATTCCTGCTTCTGCGAGCTATTCTTGCTGTTAAATACCAAACTCCTTGTTAATTCCCTCTGACCGCGTGGGCGAAGCCGCGGTTAACGGCAAGTTATTTAATAATTTGTCCAAAGTTCGTTATTACCCGGAGTGCCGGATTAACCAAGTAATCAGAGTAGCTTAACTTATTAAATAAGTAAGAGTATGTAACTGTTATTTACCACTTAATACTTATCCACCACTTATAACGTAGAAATAATTTATATGGCAAAATGACGTTTGCCGAGTCAGCAAGTAATTTCGGACTCAGCATGAAAGAAAACTCACTAGAAAACTGATAAACATACTTTTCTTTTGGTACATAATTACATATATTAAATATATAAACATTTATACACTCGAAAAACACTATGTTTACCATACAATATTTTTCCAGTAGTGCATGTCGAACCCACGCCCTCTGGCGCTGGAGGCAGGTTCACTACTCCCCACGCCAATCGGGTCGTCTAATTTATTTATTATCGTGCACTGTGTTACATTCGATGAACACCGTACATTGTTGATACGTTTGATGTGTGCCCTAATAAAAGATCTCCCGTGCAGCCCGGAAACGTCGAACGCGGCCCCGGAGGAGCCGGAGCCGGTGGCCGAGACCTCCGCGGACGCGAAACACAAGCGCAAAGACTCCCTGGACATTATGGAGGAGATAGAGAGGGAGATAGACGATATGGCGCTAGAGGAGGACACCGCAGAGGGCCTGGTGAGTGGCGCGCCCTCCCTCGGCGCAGATTGAAATTGGCACCATCAGGGCCGGATTAGAGGTCGGCACGCCCCGGGGCAACAAACTATTGGAGGCCCCTCCCACCCCAAAATATTCTCCTAATAAAATGAACAGTTTTTTTCATTTGAGTTTTCCAATAAATAATTTATTAAGAAACCATAGTGTTATAGCAGGTAAAGATAAAACGCGAAAAATTTGTTAGCTAGTTTGAATTTGATTATTTTTCCGAAGTCTCTTTTGTGGAGGTTAAAGGATATTCATCTCTTGTATGTTTTACCACGGTGTAGCTCTGGTTCATTGCGTTTTGTAAAAATTAAATAATGGAATGTTCACCAAGTCAAATGTTTCCATGACATATATCGTTTAATATCATACACTGTATTGATATGTTCATCGCTGAGGTGAGGCGAAAGCTTTGAAAAGCGCACCATAATGGGCTTTGAGAGTTAAATAATGATGAGTCTGGAAAAACATTTCGAATAGTTCGGCTAAAGTATTAATGCGAAACCAAAAATATTTTTCTCGCATATTTTTTTTTATGTGAAATATGTCAAGCGAGGTGATGGTTCACCTGATGTTTAAGGATAACCGCGGCCCATGGACATTTGCAACACCCGTAGCGTTTCCATTTTTCAGTTTTAATAAAGTGGGCCCCCGGCTACCTCACTCACCAGAAGAAACGTAGAAGTATAACACTTCTCGCACGCAAGGAGGTCGCACTTACCCGGACGGACTTCCATTGGTATTCAATGTAATTAGTATTTTGATTTTATTCAAATTTAAAAAATACCACCCACTAAAGATGATTAAATGAATGTTTGTCTTTTTTCAGGACCTCTCCGACCTAATTGATTAAGTATATATATTTAGTCTTTTTTACATTACATTACGGTCATAAATAACATGTACTTCCTAATGTGCTGATACATTTAAGATTAAAGTATTATATAATTTTTCCCCACAGTCCCTCGTTTTAATGTTGCCACCATTGTTTATGTTGCTCTGTGTACAAACACATTTGGCTACTGTATCACTTTGGATTTATAATTTGGATAATTTGGACAATTTGGACGCCGAGCAAAGTCATGCTGAATCGTATTAGTAATAACCTATTTTAGTACACCTAAAAAAAATGTCCCCATTTCGTATTGACTGATAAAACATAACTGTTTGCTGTGCACCTTTGTTATGGGAAGTCGTCTTTATTTATAATGGGAAGACTTTATTATTTCTTTCTTTTATTTATTTATACAATTTCCTCTTCTAATCGAATAAATTTTTATGTTTTAATATAAGTGTTATTTTGAGAATAAAAAATAGAGTTGTTTGCTATGGAAATGAATTTGTTCCCAATATTCGCATCGAGTTTCTGTAATCTTTATCGCTTGTAATTGTACGTCCCGTTTTTCTATATCGCCATTTAACTTGACAAAAACTCGCCCGATAATATATTAATTTCGATCTATTATACTTTTTAATGTTATTTGTGTAAGTAAATTTAAGCGATTATATAACGCATCATATAAACATGTGTAATTACTTAATCGTCGTATCATTATCGTATATTATCTATTGTATGCATTTTAAACTTGTTAGCATTAAGTCATTTTAATATTATTGGTACATATGTTAATCGCATCTTAATCATGAAGTATGTCGAAATAAATACGTTCCATTAGTGTCAGCTTATTCTATTTGATACCATTTTTTGAATCGACACCATGGTCGTAATTCGTAACTTATGCGAGGGCCATGTTAAATTTTTGAGTTTTTATATCACGAATATGGAATTGATAAGTGGTGTACACGTTTAAATTCATAACTTCCAATACTTCTCGGTAATTGTGCTCGGGAATTCACCAGTGTTACAAATAAGACGTGGCAGAGTATATTCTGCAAAGCAATAATAATGGTAAGCAGTGACCTAGCCGGGGTCGCTGCTCTGTGAGCCTATTTGTGACACTAAAATACGATTTAATTAGTTGGTGTCGTGTACCATTATCGATACCATCGAGTGTTAGTATTTAATTATATTCTCGATGTCCATTGAACTGAATGAAGGGATCGTTCAAAAAATAAGTCTTCAATTTTCTGATTACATTTGTGCTTAGTTTGTCACACGGACAAAGTTCTTCCAATGCGGATTATGATATAGTTATACGCGTGTGAGTAATTTAATTGGGATATGTTTTAATATTGTTCAACCTTAGGCCACTGGTTGGCCAACGGTATAAATAAATATACGGATATAATTTCTATAACTCTTGCTATTTTGTTTTATTTAGCATTGCGTGACTTCCAGAATAAGCGGCCGTTCTATGCACAACCAATCGCGGCATTACAACTCGGCTAATTTGATACCTAGCGATAGTGTGCTGGCTGTATCTGCATTGGGTTTCAAGTTTGAACATACGTTTGAAGCCTGAAACCTTAACGCTTTGGTCATCTTTTTTTTAATTCCCCTCAAAGCAGAATGTTTACCGAAATTACGAGAACTTTTCCCTGATCGTTATAATGTATCAAAATATTTGTTGAATTTTGCATGAGAATGTTTTGTAAGTTTTAAGTAACTGCTTAGATTACACGCCATACTATCTGTCGATGATACACTTATATCAAGATCAGTAACTGTAGGAACTATTTAAGCATTTTACTCTTGAGAAGACAGTACTTTTTAGAAATCCATATTTTGTTGAAAAGTCAAAAGTAAATGTATTTTGAAAGTAACAGCTATGGAGTCGCATTTATATTCAGATAAACAACCCAAGCATTTGACAGTTGAGTCTGTTAAAGCTTATTTATACACGGTCGGCTTATTTGTATTTACAGCTAAAATAATAAATAGACTCGTTGCTCCCAGTAGCCCAACTAGCCTTGCAGTGCAGTCGACCCCGGCTACTCAGATAAATTTGCTACATTGAATCATTCTTTTTCTCGCAATTTCTAAGGGTTTGCGTGGAGTGTGCGGTCAGTGCGTCTAAAAACCCGCTAACCCGTGCGCTCGCCTAAGCTAAAATTACTAGTTTTCACTAATATGTTTCTGCATGACGCACACATCGTTCACATTGCCGTAAACAAGTGTGTAAAATATCTGAATAGTTGTTAGTTATGTAGCCATTATAGCGTTTACTGTCTTTTTTAATAAATGTGTGACTATGCAAACCGATTGGGCTTTTCAATATCAACCTTCCAGCGATCCTGATATTATTTCATGCGAAATAATTCCTGAATATATTTCTTTGAGACGAAATTATAATCAGGGTAAGCGTGATAGACTAATCACTTTTGCACTGCACATTTTAGCACAATTGCTTAGTTAATAAAATCTCGCGCATAATAGTACAAATAAACCATCATCTTCCTGTTGTTATCTGACCTGCCCACATAAGTGGAGTCGGCTAAATATGTGAGTCAAGCGGTTTGGGCTATGATCACCAATGAACCCTCCTTGGGAATCAAACACCCAGATCCGGAACGATTATTTGTGGGTCATACAAATACTTGTTCCGTGTGGAAATCGAACGCATGATCCACGACGCCGAAGCAAATAGCTTGCCGATGTCGCCGCCGAGTCATTGAATTTAGCAAATACAGTGAGCTGACCGAACAAAACGTGTATGTTTGTAATCTGGTTGCATTTTGGGTATGAAGTATCGTGATTTTATGATAAAGAGATTTATGGGTGTGATTCAATTTTAGTATATGCGCCGAATACACGACGAAAATTTAGTAATATATACCTACATAAAGATCTACTTACAACTGCCACATGTAAAGACTTCTTATAGTAATTGAATGGTGGTGGACAGTAGTAGTTACAGTACTCTAGACTTGGCAATTGTGTGCACATTTGTGCATCTCCGACGCAACATACTAATATTACTAACATTACTACTTTAATGTAAACACAACTTATGACCTATTATAAAATCAATTGCTTCCATGGGTGCTTTTGGGTAGTTGCACAAATTGATAGAGTTCCACGAGAGTGCCACGGCCGCACAAGACCAAAGGGAAAGCAACCAAGCACAAGACAAGCGTGAATTAGAAGCATCATACTTTTTGGAATCGTCTGACGAATAAAGTATTCGTGGTCGCGGTTTGAACACGAAAAAGGGCCGACGAAGGACGACTATTGGCTTGATTTTTGGGATTTCACGTCTTGGAGGTGTGGAGAGTAGAGGTAAGGAGAACGATGTCGGCGTATAAAATGTGTCCGTCAAAAAGCGATACATTGGTGGCGCTGCGGTAGCAGGTGGGTACTAAGCAGAGTTGGTGAATGGCCCACCGCGTTCAGTATGGCTACCCATGTGCTATATATACATAAATACTTATACATATTTGCTAGCTTAGCACCATTCTCGTGCGTTTTTGAACTTACTGTTCATCGCTGAACGTTTCGTCAACGTATCGTATGTATATAGATTGCCGTCCTTTCTACACTATCAGTGGAGCAATGAAGTCGACAGGTGGTGCTATTGAGATTATTGTCAGCGTTAAGTAGAGTATCCTTAGGTCAATGACCACGTAAAGCTGCCAGCCAGTCCGGTTTGCATGTTTACTTGTTGGCCGCAATTTTTTTTTTAATTAATTAGTACCTTGTTTCATTCTCTACTTTCAAACATAATCTAGCATAAAGTGATTGGACTTCACGCATATCGACTTTCGTTTTGTTTCAAAACGAAAAGAGAATTCAAATTAGGGTCAGCTTTTCCCATCTAATTTAATTTAATCTTAAAGAAATGTGTGCTTGAGAAGGTTAGGCAAAGTATAGGTGGAAAAGCAATCGCTGATAATAGCACCATGTCTTCATTTAATAAAAATTACTCCAATGTGAAATGTTTTCGATACAAAGGGGGAACCATAACAATCGAAAGTTGTACTAAACGAATTTTCTGGTTATATTCGCACTATCTCAGTAACAGCCCATTCACTCTTGCTTTGAAGACACAGGGAAAAAGGGACGTTGGAATCCTTTGCTACGCGTTACGATCACACGATGTTGACATTCCATGCCTTCGAACGTAGAGAAGAATCTCTTTGTTTGGAATGCAACTTAAAGATGTTGAACGGCAAGATATAACTAATTTAACTTTAGAGCAAATAATTGAAATATGTGTCGTTGAAATAGTATAAATGATAAATGTTATCAGTTTTCTAGTTATGTACTGTTCACAAAAGAATAAAGACACCGATATGTTTTATACCAGTTTAGACAAATTAATAAAAATGTTCACTACGAGATCGTTACAAAACAATAGACGGAGAGATGTTAATTGATGACCGCCGGCCATGGACATTCGCAACACCCGTAGTAGGGTTGCAAATGCGTAACCTTTAAATAAAGTGAGCATATATTAGAATAAGTACAGCGTTTACTCACCTCAATGCGATTTGCAGATGGGTTGCCACCGTTTAATAAAGTGCGCCCGGCTTCCGCACTCATCGGACGAAGCGCATACGTATAACTACGACCCAATTGGCGTCGGGAGTAGTGCACCTGCCTCCTGCGCCGGAGGGTGTGGGTTCGATCCCCACTAGTGGAAAAATATTGTGTGATGAACAGTGTTTTTCCAGTCTCGGTGTTTATATATGAATAATATGTATTTATTTACAAAAAGAAAAGTAAAGAGCCTACACAGCAGCGGCCCCGATACATTCCAGTGGCACGAGGCGCAACTCAGCAGGAACGTGATCATTGACGTCAACGGATGCAATCGGCGCTCGCCAATATTCGATTTCCTAATTTTTGTTCTAATAATTATATTCATTCTAGATCTAGCATCGATCAGATTCAATACCTTTCTAGTTATAATTATATTGTAATTTTTATATTATAATAAAGTATTTTTA